CTGAGCTGATCTTTTAGGCTGTTTTAATGCCAGGCTGTGATTTTTCAAAAAAGATTTTTCATATGGTTAGAATCAAGGTCTTACAGAGATTTTCCATTTAAAGAGATTTGAGGATCATTAATTAAATCTCCTTTACGAAAATGGTCTATTAAATGGATCCATTAATGACATTCAAGATTAATGAAGATCCGATTCCATTTATGGATCATTAAATCTGAAAGGAATTATATAGTCAGTAAAAATCTTCTTGCAGAAATATTGTGCTATAGCTGAGTGAGTTGAAACAGGGATAAATAGAAGGGCTAGCTCATTTCTTTGTTCGACTCCTCGCCGACGCGAGCCTAATGGGGGGACGTAACAGGCAATAATCTGACGTCACTGTGATGCCACCTGTCCTGATTTCCCGCGTTTAAAACAGTAGTTTCATTGAGCTGTAGACAATTTTCTAGGGGTTACATATCCCAAATTAATTTTAATAATATATATATATCTGTTTTCTAATAATGTATATATTTAAAATAATTTATATATATGTAATTTTAGTCAGTTTTTATTTTAAATTCTATATTGTAAAGTATCGTTTACGTAATATGGCTTTTTGCGCTGCAGTAACGTGCCGTAGCACTTACAGAAGTACGAAAGGATGAGATATTTTATTTCATGGGACCAAAGGATCCAAATGAGAGTTTGCTTTTGACGAAAGAATGGATACACAAATGTCAAAGAGAAGATTCTATTAATGTGAAGAGCGGAAAAATCTGCAGCGAACATTTTCTATGCAGTGTTTATGAAGATGATATGAAAAATCACTTGTTTGGATAGCCACAAAAAGAAACTGTTGAAATGAAATGCTGTGCCGAAAGTAAATTATGATGACAATAATAAATCGAAATTGATGATGACAATAATGAATCAAATTTTAATGATTTTGAAATAAAACTCACAAATGAAAATGTAGATCATCCTGAATGTTAAAGGATAAACAAGAATGTATTGATAATTTGAAGAACAAGATAATATCCTTAGAAAATTGTATTAAATTATATTAAAGTATTGAAAAATAGAGAAAAGAAAAATTTTAGAATGTTTGTTCAGCGACAAAGAAGGTGGATGACATCTAGACAGAAATTGGTATCAGAAATTAAAATCTCAAATAGAGAAATTTGGGGGGGGAAGCACAAATCGGAGAATTTGGAAAAACGTTTAAAACCTATTTTTATAAAGACGCAGATTAATGCATTACTGAAAAAGAAGAAAAAAATCAGGTGGACTAGTGAAAATATTTCACGTTGCTTTGTCATAAGAGCACTGTCATCTTAAAGCTATGATTTTTGGAAAGAAAAAAAATTCAGAAAAAAATTGGAATATCTTTACCTAGTATTATCAAATTTAAGAAATGGTGTTTATTTTATTTTTTAGTGTTTTCTAAATTTTAGTGTAGTCCAAGAATTCAAAGTAATGTTCTTACTCTAAAGAAGGAAAGAGGTGAATATTTGTATTCTGTAGAAAAAATATGCGTTCTCAGTTTCGACGACATGCTTATAGATTGAAAACTGCTATGACTCTAAACTGGACTAAGTTGGTTCTTTTCAAAATGTGCAGTTTGTTTCAATCAGAGGTCTCATTTCGCGCTCTGCCTCAAATTACTGAGAAACCGCATTTTAGATAGAGGATTTGTTTTAGAAGATGTAACTGTTTTAAATTTTGATATTATTAAAGAGGTTTTAAATAAAGATTGAGAAGAAATCAAATTGCGTCACAAACTAAAACCAAATTATTTAATGGTCAAGGGAAACGAGAGACAAAAAGTCGCTCCAGAGAAAACATTATTTTCAAAAAGTACAGCAAAAGGTATACTCTACCCCCACAGGAAATCAGAAAAGCATCTGACTTCTATGAGTTAATCGATAATATCTTCGGTATTATGAATAGTACGAAAATAGTACCAACAAGAATAACAAGTATTTAACAAACTAATTTTGTTAAGTACTTGTTAAAGTTATTCTTATTGTATCCTTTGTAACTAATTATTGATTAGATTTTGTGCTAGATAGATTAAATTAGCATTCGTTCTAGATAAAATATAATAGTATAAAACATCAAAGTAATTGGCATAAAAAGACCTGCCTTCCTTTACTCACACTTTTGAAAAATTAAATAACTGTTTTAAGTACTCTGAATAAAGCTATTTTGTCAAAATTAAGGTAACAATCTTATATACATTTATTTAATTGTAATATAGATATAAGTATAAATTCCAAAATTATTTAAAAAATATCTATTATATTGAATCGGAAGAGAATTATAACAATGTAAAATTTACAATTAGGCAAGAAATCAAACGTAGGTTAGCAGAAATGTTGCTATATATGTCATATATGTTTAAAACTATGCCAATGTAAAATTGTTTTTTGAGTAAATTTAAATAGCTGATATTATAGTTATCTTAGAAGCAGTATAAAAATTCTCTCAGTTAGCATGCAGATAAAGAAATGATTAGAAATAAAAGTGAAATTAAATAAAAAAAACCTGCAAATAAAAATAAAAAAAACCCACGGAACTTTATGTTAAAAGAGTAGCACATTTTATCTATTATTTTAAAATTGAGTAAGCATTATAAAATTTTTTAATGGTTCAGTCTAAAATGCATAAAGCAGTAACATTGCCTCTTCCAAATTATAACTGTCTTTCACACACAGCTCATTTTAAACGCTGGTTCAAAAACGCTAATTTCCAAGCTGTGAATTATATTGCCGTGCTCAGTGTCATCATGGCTACGTCATCACTTCTCACTTTCTGCTTCAGGGAGAAAAGCTCTATGAGCTAGCCCTTCTCTTCTAAGTCCTGGAGTTGAAAGCTCATTCAGCTCTAGCTTTTAATAAGGATAGTCTTCATATGGACTTTAGCTTTTTTTACATTGTTAGAAAGTTTGTTATGCAATTGTACTGTTAAAGCCAACAAAATTCTGAAAATATTTTATCTCTATTTTATGCTTTAATATAGACTTTGTCAAAGTATGATTATGACACACATGGTATGTTTTTTGTGGAGTAAATAAACAAGCAAACAGAAAGAATAAGAAGCTCACAAATTAGAGACAAACTTAATAAAGGCTCATGTGAATTTATCATGACAAGTTAGTTAAGTATAGGTAACTAGTGGGGATCATCAGTGGACATTCTGGTGATCAGTTCTAATTGCCAATACTCATATAGTGTTTGTCATGTTTGATCAGCAAAGTTATTCTACTTAGTATTGGAAAATTATGGAAATTAAAAGTTGAATATGAGTGGGAACCTGTGAAGCAACATATTTTTTACCTGTTTCACTTTGCCGAAGAAATCTAATCAAAATTTGATTTATTGAAATGCGTTTTAACATAGTGTTTTAATTTTACTGCATTCTGCATCACAGTGTAATATAGCTAATGATTTATTATGTTTAAAAGCTCTATTGAATATAAATTTTTCTTTTCCTACTCTCTTCCCTGAAATATAATCTTGATTTATTTGAATTGTCAGTACTTATGTAATTAACCAGGTGTAAAATGAGTTTTCATGCTCATTAACCAGGTATATAAAGTGGCTAATGCCTTTTTTCTAAAAAATTCCTCAAAATTGTTTAAAATCCATATCCTTTGATCTGATCACTTAAAATACTGACATAATTGATAACTCTTCCTGCGAAGGTTTTTTTAAGAAAAGAGATTTCTTGTTAAACTTTCACTCTTCCAGTGCAAACATCTGGAACTTCAATTAAAACATCCTTGATGAAATCACCTTTGGTAGAAGATTTTGGGTGTTTAGCTCTCAATAGGCTGTAACTTGCATGTACTGCAGTTTCACTTTCTAAACATGAAGAGTTTTCTCAGTCCTAACATGATCTTTTCAACTTTTCCTCTCTCATTAATCTTTCCAGTTATCTTATTTTGATTTATATTGTTACATTTAATGCTATTTAACTTTAACACATTGGTAAACATTATTACATATCAAGCAAATTATTTTATCTTTGGCTTCTCAGCAAAAATACAATTTCCACTTTTCTTGGAAATTTTGATGTTCATCAACAATTTTTCATATAGTTTTTCTCCTGTCTGGTTTCGATAAACGCATTTAATACATAGGCCTAAAGTAAATAAGTTATCATTAATACAGTATAGTGACTCAAAGCTGAATTTCATCTCCCAACAAAAATAGCAACATGCAGCAATAAAAAGTGAAAGAGACCTCATGTGATTGTGTTGATTCACAACTTAACAGGAGATGGAGGCAGAAAAGAGAGTTATAATGCTCCAATAAGACTTAAAATGCATGCGTGATTTCAAAAAACAAAATCATTAAAAAATATAATAGATGCAAATAAAGGAATGGGATTAAATTTAATTTTAATGTTGGTAGTGATGACAATCAAAGCAACTTTGTCATTCCTAAGTCCTTAGTCAGCTTGTTAGAAGTTTTAAAAATTAATCTACAAAATTCTTATTAAAACTTTTATTACGTAGAGCTATATTGACTGAACCACAAATGCATTCATTGTGAACCGCGAACTTGAAATGTAGGATTTTCATGATCTGTGTTTGCTATAGTGCTGATAGAGGCACCAAAAACAATAAATGTCTTTCTTCAGTCAAAATATATATATAGTATTTTTGTATCAAAAATTTTATTTGCATATGTATACACATTTATATATATGTAGATAAATATACAGAAAAAAAGGGCCATTAAATTTGCCTCACTATACAAAGCCAAAACAAAGCTTTGGTTTTCAGAAAATACAGCATGGCAAATTTAGTGGCTGTTATTCAGAAATAAGCATGTATTACATGTTTCCCAGATTATTGTAATTCTGTTTTATTTGCAAGTGCAAAATCATATTCAGTGGTTTATAGCTTGTGCCTGGATAAGAGACAGGTATTGACATGTATGTAATTTTATAACACCTTTTAAATTTATTAAAATGAGTATTTTTTGTTAACTCTACCTTGTTACTTGCAGGAATTGGACATAATGCAATGTAAAGCTGATGATGCTGATTTCAGTTCTGTATTTGACCTGGTAATGAATCGTACCTGCAGTGTCACAGCTATTGTTGGGTATTTTGACAGTTATTTTGAAAGAGGACTTTCACATAAGGTTCAATTCTTTTCTTTATAAATTGTACATGAATTCGAAATTATACTATTTTTGTTAATTTTTTATTTGTTTTACATTTGTACATAGGTTGTTCTTTCCACTTCTCCAAAATCCACTTCTACACACTGGAAGCAGACTATGTTTCTGTTGCCAAATCCTGTGCAGGTCACTGAAGGTATGTTTCGCAAGTCAATTTTTATATAAATCCAATAAAGCTTGCTAATAACTCATACTAATAGGAAATGAAACTAATCAAAATGTATTATTTCATTTATCCTAATATATATTAATCAAGCATCTTCAGTATCCTACTTAGAATAGTGTAGCAATTCTAAAGTAGTCTTTCACTGCTATAAGTACATCCAAGTGAATGCCATCGTCTTTCAGTTCACCATTAACAACATCTTCATTTCCATGTTGTAGATAGATAATATTTTCAGTTCTGTCCACGTTACTTGATATAACAATTATTGTTATTATTTTAACATTTTAATGATCATTTATGGCTTATTCTTTGATTGGACTTAATGTTCATTATCAACTTGTTTGGTAGATTTAGGTTTAAATGAATTATTATTTGAACTTATCGTGATACATAGCACTTTTGATTGTAGTGGCAACTGAAGAAAGCAGCAGTTTACTGAAAGCAGTTCTGCTAAAAAAATCTGCCTCAATTAAGGTTGTTTTTCTGGTACTCAAATATAAAGTTGTATTTATAGGGCAATTTTAAATTCATCATATATGCACGTTTTTATTTTACTGAATTTCTTAAACAAAGTCCTTCCTTTTTGCTTATTTTTAGGAACTGTACTTGATCTAAATCTTGCAGTATAGATACGGTATAAGTTTTGAGTAAAACAAAATAAAAATAAATAAATGTTTTGGGATAAAACTAATTTGTGCAGTTATTGCAAATCATAGTTTTGAAAATAATAATGATCATTGTAATTTTTAGTTTTCATTCCTTAATTAATCATATGAAAGTAAAGAAAATGCATTAATTGTATTGTTATTTTGCGGGGGGGGGCAAGAAACTTTACATCCACTCTAAATTTCTTATTGATAGGACACCTTATCTTCATTACATTTAATATTATAAGTAGTTGCTGCAGTTTTGGTATTTTATATTACAGTGCTGTCTGAATTTCTACTTATCTGAGTAATAGTTTGCAATTATAGTCCAACAAAAAATGGAAGTGTTTTCCATTTTATACCTGCATTCTTTTTAACATTCTTCATATATTATTATAACTTCTGGCATTCACAGTATGTACCACAATTTGTAATTCTTCCTAATTATGAAGCCTTTTTAAAGTCTTTTGATTTTTTTTCTAGTAGATTACAGACATGATTTGTGATTGTTTAATCATCCTGCACTTTGTTTCAGAATAATATAAAGTCATCAAGAGACTCGTATTACATAACTTCTTCAGAAGTTCACTGTTTCTGTTATTTTCCCATTGTATATAAAAAATCTCTAATTTTGTTCCACAAATTCATAATTAGATTAATTAGCAGCCAAATGAAGTTGCTGCCGGTCAGCTTCTGTTTCTTTTGAAGTTTTGTTCTGATTTTTGATTGAAATAAATGTAAAATGGTAGGAATCAGGTCTTTTTCATTGACAAATATAAAATGAAATTGTATAACTTTATTAAGGCAGTTTTATTACACAATACAACTTAATGAATAAAATTAGACACATTCCATGTTTGATTACAAAAAGTGTTTAAAGCAGTTTTTCACTGCTATAAGCACATCCACGTGAAAGTAGAAAAATCATTAATTCATGTTTTTAGATTAAAAAAAAAAAAGCTGATGAAGTAACTGCTTTGCATAATATTTGCTGAGGTACAATTGTTTTTTACTTAAAATGTGCACTGTTCATGTTAGAGGAAAGAACGTTTGTTACATTGTTATTAAAACTAATGTATGTACGTTAGAGCTCAAATCTTGTTTGTACTAACACCCTATGTCTACATGTTATACGTTAAGGAAATATCTGTTGTTTTAACTAATATATGTTAATTTTTAATTCATTATTTGTAAAAGCATGGCATTATTATATTGCTGTGATAACTGCTCTGAAATATAATTAACTGATTTTTTAAATTGATTTTAAAGGTGAAGTTGTAAACTGCAGGCTGTCTTGTAGGAAGAATCGAAGAGATCCTAGAAGTTTGATCGTTAAACTTAATTTTGGAAAGTATCATAATCAATATTATCTGTCATAACGTTAATAAAATGTTGTATATATCATTATATATGTGTGTATTGAATTCTTATTCTTTGAACAAAACTTTTGAGTTTTGTAATTGCAGTATACAAAAAAGTTGAAGGTGCTGTAAAATTTAAAAATTAATGAAATAGTATGTTCAGCATTCCCCCCTCCCCCTCCAGATTCATTTTAAAATCTTTATTTATATAATTCTTATAATTCAAGAACACATATTTTGTATTTTTTTTTCCAAGTGCTATTTTGTTATTTTGCTACTCATAAGTACTTTATGAAAACTTTAAACTAATAATGCAGTACATGTAATTCTTTCATAATTGCAAATTAATCATTTTAAAGAAATTAACTCGGATATTGATTAGTTGATGTGTGGCTTGTCAACTTTTATCCATTCATGGCATCTGTGCCTTTTACTATTTAAAATAGCTTGCCAAATTTCTTTTCTTTAATGATCTAACTATCATCCTAAAAATCTCTGGTTATGAAAGCAAAGGATAAAATTTGTAACTATATGAACAGAGCTATTAAAAGCTGTGTGAATGCAGTTTTTTATGATTGAATATCAAAATTCCATTCCATGAGTTAGAGCTCATTTCAGAATTGCTATGACACTAAGATAAGATTTTCTGCAATGAATGTTGATTAAAAATAAAACAGGATAATAAAGGGGGAAAATAGAAAAAAATTTTGAAAGTAAGAAAAACTTAAAAAAAAAAACTCAGATCAACAATTCTCCCGAGGTAAGAAATAGGTTCCAGTTGTCCTTGCAGCGACCTTCCACTCTTAGTAACAGAAGAGTGATTTGAAGCATTATTGCTTCTCACTAACCTTTCACTGTGTATCTGGTGTTGTATCTGTAATCCAGGGAACCTGAATGGGAACTCGGGCTGTTCATTACAGTGCAACAAAGTGCCAATTGGTAAAAGTCGAACCAACAACTTTTACATGTTTGTTTTTATGCACTTTCATGTGTGCGTGGGCACCACGCATGGATAATCTAGAATTTACTGTATATATAATTTATCCATCTTGTCCATGAGAGAAACTTGTCCACACTTTCTTCTTTTTGTTGTCTTTTAATATCTAGTACCATCCATTTTAAGGAGAGGAGATAGTTATTAATGTAAGTATTTTTTTTAAAGGAAGCAAAGGCTAATAAAACCTTTGATTCCTACTTTGCAAGTACAAAAATGTGTTGCTATAGCTACTGGTGTTACATTTAATGTAATTAAACTGACCAGAAAAGAAGTCTTGGCCCCTCCCAGTCAGTTATCCATCTCGAGAAACCACTGAACATACCTGATGGACGAAATGCTGTATTAAATAAATTCGATCTTTCTGTTATTTGGAATATTGTGAATGAAATCTATGCTAACAAAAAAATTCCAGTGCTTGCAAAACTACTCCCTAATGTGAAGGAGAGATTTAATTTTCGACGAGAAAAGCAATCTCTGAAGAAATTTCTTCATAAAGCAATAGTGCAACAGCAGCTCTGCCAGAATCATCACAGGGCTTTGATTGAAAACCCAAACATTGTGACATAGAGATTTTGCTATGTAAAAGAAATTTCATCAAAATAACAGATGCATCATCTATTTAGGTAATTTTTTGCTGCTCAAATTGCTTCATGAGCATGGGAATGACAGTCACTCTAGATTGTTCAGGTTGCTTACTTCCCTCCTCCATTCCATTTAGCATATTTTGCTTCATGAAAAGTACACAAATGAAGACTGACTTGAACTATAGTCTGTAGGCTCTGCAGTAATGATGACACATGTTATGATCATAAAGGAGAGGGTTGGCAGCAGACTTTAAATGCCTGTTTTAAAGAAATAGACAGTAAGCATAGGCATTAGTAAAATTACATGTGATAGAACAAACTAGTATTAGGGTTAGCTTGTTTTGAGGCGTTGAAACACAAATAAAGCTGTAGACAAAAATTCAGTGTGAAGAATGGGGAAAAAAAAAAAAAATATTGAGAAACAAATGGATTTTTTTTTTTTTAATTGATGGTAATTTAAAAACGACAGTAATTTGGGTGGCAGTAGTAATGATGACAAATATTATTATTAAACATTTGTAGTGTGGAACATATATTGAGCTATAAATATTTTTTTAATTATGTTTAAAATGTAATGGGGTTATTTATTTGTAAACAGTAGCACTTTTGAAATAAATAAGTATTTCTTATTGTTTACAAGTTAATAATAGCATATTATATCAAATTAGTTTTATTGTTAAAGTCAGGTATTTAAAATAAAAGTTTTATAAAAAAATATCACATTATTTCTGAAGGAAGAGAACAAACAAATTGATAAAGATTGTAATATGATAGTCTATCCTGCCAAACATAACACACCGCTTGTTTTGGTTCATCTGAAGTAAAAATGCAATTGTATGACACCATTGATGTGTAATGGCCAAGTCTCATCTCGTGGTTAGATGGTTATACTGTAACATGAGTATACTGCTATACTGTAAAATAATGCTGCACTTTATTTTACTGCAGTCTGCATCCAGAACAATATTTAATGACAAACTGACTTATATATGGAGTTCTTGCAAATGTGTGAAATAAAAAATGCTTTCATTACATGTATTGTGGACACCTGGTGGAGTATGTTTCGTATGTCATGGAAGCTTCAACAATTGTTTGTGGTCACTGTCCAATTCTCTTACAGTTCACCCACTGAGGTTGGCTGGTTAACTGTCTAAACTAACATTCTGGGGAGTCTCATGTTATTGGAGCTCATCTGGTGCCTGAACAGCTTATCACTCATTCATACTCTAGATTTTTCCACCATGTGATGACAAATTTCCTTGATGCCATACTCTTATCCACAATATGTGGCCTGAGGAGCATGATGGACCATCGCATTTTACTCTTTTGTACATGTGTGGTTGGATGTGGAATATCTTACTTGCTAAATAGGGTTTGGGAGTCTAGCTACTAAGACTGCCAGACCAGGATTTTTTTCTAAGGTGTCAGTAAAATTATTAGTACATTGAACCAAACTTACTACAACAGGAGACTTAACTGCTTGTGTTCATATATCATTTACTTCTGTGAGCATCATGATGCTGGATGATATTCAGTCAACTACTGATCAACACGTGTAAGCATACCTTAATATACACAGTGATCATTTTGAGTATCTTTCCATGTAAGTATAATGTTAATATGTATATATCACTATTTACGTTTCCAGTAAAGCTTATTTTTGGAGCACCAGATATGATGTACCAAATGCTGGATGTTTCTTCAGTGTTTCCTTCAGTGCTTTTAAAACTGTGTCTTAAAAGCTGTAGTGTAACATGGATGTTTGTACAGTAAAATAAGAAAAGTAGTTCATGCATATCATAAAAATAACCATATCTAAAAAAAAAAAAAAATCACATCATACAAGTATTATAAAACTAATCATTGATTCCATTTGAGGTTGAACAGTTACATTTTTGCATTTGGGATTGAGCAATCTCATTTCTTTCAGATAACATAAATGAATATTGGTGTTTATCATCTCCAATGCTCATGTTCTCTAATGCAACCACCTGCATTGTTGATTAGCATGGCTTTACCCTTATGTAACGAAAATACAAGCTAATTTCTTCTAAAGCCCTCGAAGAACACATCGCTTACATGAGGCCCTTGTATGCTTTGCCATATTCGAATAACTGAACCTAATCTAATATATAAGCTTTTATTTAGCTCACTCGTGGTATTTGATGCTATGGTCAAAATCTTGTAATTTACCGAAATTAGTTTCAAACCAATTCTGCATAACATCACAATGTGATGAAGCAGGTTTTTAAAAATTCAATTTAGTTTTTTTTTTTTTTTTTTTTTTTTTTTTAATTTAATGTTTAAATAATTTTTTTTGCACATTTCTTTGTTTAAACATTAAACTAAAAATCTCAGAAATTTATTGTTTGCACAATTAGATAGAGCAGGAAAAAGAAACCTTTTAAATAAAATTGTATCAAATTCATAACTAATTTCTCATTTCTTTATGAATTTTTGAAAATTGATAATTTTTTTTAACTGTTTGATGTCCATGATTTTAAAATTTCCCAATCTTAAAATATTACGGTTAGAAAGTTTTAGAACATTTCTCAGACTGTAAAACAAATGCTTTGGCGTTTTTTAAACAAAAATGATTAAAAAAATATTAATTGGGCAGATTTCTACGTTGTTTTAAAAAAATAAGTAACAGTATGAAAAAGAGAGGTATTATTTCTTCCTTGTGCATTGCAGGGAAATAAAATTTCAAGGTTAAAGGCATTACATCACTTTTCTTGCTTCAATATAAATTTCTGAAAAACTGACTTTTATTTATTTAACATTAATCTCACATACCTTGCTTCAAAGAATTACATGCAAAGAACTTGCATCTTACTATACCTACTTACATCTTACTAAATAAGTCCTGCCATTTTATAAATGCTATACCTTCTGCCACCCTTTTTAAAATTTTGCTTAATCTAAAATATAGCAAGGCATTTAAAATTATTTTAGCCAGTTTTAGTGTTTCCATTCGCATAAATGTATATACATTTTTTCAGAATTTTGTTTTAAAAAGTGACTTCCTTAATTTTATTGTTGGTTGTATAGTATTATGTTTTTTATGGGCCTTTAAAATTCTTACAACCAAAGATCTAACAACCAGATTTGAAATTTTCAAAGGTTATAAAACAGACATTTTATTTTCTTTTAAAAAATGAATGATGAAAAAATTCTAATAAGCAGCTTTCTTGATTTTTTTTAAACTAGCCTCATTTTTATAACTTTTTATTTAATTAGCTCAAGGTATTTGCCACTATGCCATTTTTAAACTACTCTTTGATAAGCTACCAAGCTCATAAACTCATTGTGAATGATAACACAATGTGATAAAACAATTGTTTTTTAAATTTGATTTAAAATTTATTACTGAAACAATTTTTCACCATTTAATTCGTTAAATGAATAAATCGCAACTCAGAATTTTATTGTCTGTTTCATCGGGTTAGTGTGGGGAAGGTAAACTCTTTTAAAGGAAGTTTATATAAAAGAGTGAATATTGTTGAAAAAAAAATGTCTTTTTTTCAGTTCAGTAATTTGATTGATGTTGTGCAATGGAGACTAAAAAGAAGAAAAAACTTTTATTTAAAATTCATAAAATAATTAATGAACTGAAAGCAGTTATAATAATTTATCTTATAGTTTAATGGGAGCAAAAACTAAAATAATTCTTTTTACAGAATTAATCTACAATAAATAATAAAGGCATGGCTGCCTAAATAAATTCGAATAATCAAACTGCATTGTCATAGCTATAAATTTATCACAGGCACTCCATACTTTTATTATTTCTGATATAAAATTATAGATAAATTTTAGTAAAGAGAATTATGCAGTCTCTTGTTCCCGTTAAATTACTATATGATAGATCGTTTTTCTTCTATTCATTAATTATGAGTTTTAAATAAAAGCTTTTATTTATTTATTTAATATCAAATTTTGATAGACAGCATACCAGGGAATGAAATCCAAGTGTTTTTACCATTAATCTATCCAGTTTTAAAGTATTCCAATTCCACAAATATTTTAATGTGATACATGTTCATGCCTTGCTTAGTATTTGAACCCAAGACCAGTAACATGTCGTTAACCTGCACTAAGTAACATACTGTTGATTCGCCTTTGAGAAGGAGTAACATATAGATAACATAATGACAGTGGCAAAGAAAAGGTTGAAACTCATAATAACCCTTTAATTATCACAGATCTGCCATCAAGCAGGAAAGTTGTTATTCTTCAGAAATTTTTAAACATATCTGTTAAAACACAGATGAAAATTCTGAAGTTTGTTGCTAATTAGAAAGTATATTTCTTTTGCATAATTCAGTAAAACGACTACTAATGTCTTTGCCTTACTTTACTAAGCATAAATGAAAACTGAATGCCATCTGGCTACATGTAACAAATGGAACGTGAGAAAATTTTCTAATATATATGGAAAAGGAATGAAAGAAAATTTTCGCTCCTTTTTTAGTGGCAAAAATTGCATACTACATTATTTGGATCATCATGAATATGATATAATGACAATCTGGGCAGTCATTTTGTGTATGGAAAACTAGGCATTTCATAAAAATTAGTACACGACTGTGCATGCATGCAGATTAGAGAGATTGTTGGTCTTAAATAAATGCCAGTTATTATATCAATAAAATTGATTTTTCTAGCCAGTTGTTCTTTGTCTCTGCATGTTACTCTAAGAGTGCTGTGACATATTTAAAGAAGTTATGTAATATTTCTGTAAATAATTAACCAAAGGAGTCCAAAGACATATATTTATTATAAATTAACAAATTTAATTTAAAATTCTTTTGTACAAGTGTGGCTGATACCACCAGTCCTACAAAGTTCAGTCTTTTTAACTCATAACATTAATTTGTCCGCTTCAAGTTTTAGTAGTTTTTATGTCAATATATTTTCACTTTCGTTTCATATTATCACTCATCAGTATTTCTGGTGTTCTGTATAATATAGTTACACATTTGTTCATGTACAGATTTCTTGTGACTATGACACCATTTCCATGCTTTTGCTTTGCTTCATGAAATAAATTTGTTGTATAAGAAATCATAATAAAGGCTTAATGGACAATTTTGCTTTGTATCTTCGAATTCATTTTCAAAAATATTTTATATTAATAGTATCTTTCAATAACTATTATGTTGGTAGTTTTAATACTGTAGTGGCAAATTACTTACCGATGCACTGTTAAAATCTGCTGGCACTTTTCGGCGCTAAAATTTATTTGTAGTGTTTGCAGATTGATTAAATATATTTTTTAAATTTCTTTTGGGTGTTATTTGCCAATCGCATTAGACTGTTACTCCCCGTATCTGGTCTTCGCATTCACGTGAAATCTGCTAGATAAGAAGCAAATGTCATCTCTCAAACCATTTCCCAATTCTTATTCTTCGTTGGCTGTTCTTGACATTATATTTTCATTGCATATTTTCCATTATGCATAAGAATTGGAACATTTCTGATTTTTTGGCAATATACCACAAACCTGGATTTAATGTTTCATTTCTGGGTAGGTCTAATGAGCGTGTAATGCAGAATGTATTTAAATGAAGAAGAAGCCATCCTCTCTTTTTTATTTCAAAAAATGAAGGAACATTAACAAGAAAAGAATAAAAATCTGATCTTGATGTAGAAGGATGCGAATAGCTTTGAGAGTTAAATAATTAGAGGGCTCCTAAATGGTCCTTAAATTAAGCATAAAACCCTGTGCATAATCTTTTTCCTTTTGTGATATAATCGCATCCTGATTAGAAGAATTTTGCGAGTTATTTTGCAATATATCACTCAAATATTGAAATTCTTCTGAAGCGAAGTAAATTGATTGCTAACAGTTTCTTTCACGGAGGAGGTAAAATATATACTTTAGTTTATCTACAACCTCAAGTACAAATAGGATTTGAATCAAAATAAATTGATTTTTAAATGTTTTTCTTTCATGCAGGAGGTAAAATTTAAAGCCTGTAGCTTAGCTTATCTGCTGTCCTCCCAAAAGTACAAATAGGATTTGAAATGTTCGCATCTGTCTGTCAGTAGGAAACTTTAGAAAAAGAGTGAAGCATTTTAATGTCTTGCTTCTAGCATTTTGCATTTGTATTTGCCAATTGTATTTGTGCTCTTGAATGCATAACTTCATAAAAATTATCTTACATATCTCAGAAACTGAATAGGTCTTGAATTGCACACAGAGTACAAACTATAAAGGTTCTTTTCTCTGCGAGAAGCTGAATAATGATGTGTATCATACAGAGTTATGTGATGCGAGTGAAAATTACTATATAGATAATGACGGCCTTTTTTTTCTGTCAGCTGCACCTTTATCTCCTCGACCAAACACCATACCAATCATTTTGGAAAGCGCAGGTCCTGCCTTTCTACGCACTGGCAAAGTCCTTAACTGTTGGGCTGCCCTTGCCTCTCTCATAAGTGACTGAAATGCAAGACTCACGCCCACATAATTTTCTGCAGCTGAAACTTCGTAGAATTGACAACGGAACTGTAGAGAGGCTTCATGACCATCGTCTACGGCCACTCGTCGTCCTCTCTCCAGATCTCGTTTGTTGCCCAAGAGAATGGCAGGTGCTCGGCGGGCTCCTTTGCTGAGTCCGACTGTTTCAAGAAGGCGACGAGCCTCTTCAAAGGTTCCTCTGTCGCATACACTGTATACCACAACATAAGCATCTGCCCAGCCGATGTGATCTTGGAGACAGCAGCGATCCTGTAAATACATTAAAAAGCCATTTTAAATATTAAGTTCATAGATTTGCTTTTCGAAACAAAATGATCTTACAGTAAATGATAACTTATCATACTGTATTGTGGAAATTTAGATAAACCATCATTTTATTTATTTATTTAAATTTATAGCCAAGAATGCATCTACCAAACTGGCTCAAATTTCCTTTTAATGAAACTTCTGCCACGGGATTTAAAAGTCGTCAAAACAAGTGGTAATCCGAAGGATCTATGGTAGTAGATGAACGAGTGAATTCTATTTAAATTTTTAATTTTTTTTTTTCCGAATAATCTCAGCCGTATGTACATGAGCATTGTTATGTAACAAATAGTCTCTGCTCTGTTATCCTTTGAATAATTAGTAACCCGATCGAATATGTCGGAGTTAGTACTGCGCAATTATTATGATCTTTCTGGTCACATCTTCCAGTGAATGACTCTTCATATTGCAAAAATATGTCAACATGATCATCAGCACACCAAGCTCCGTATTTGGCACTGGAATTCCTCGCTCAGTGAAACTAAGCTATTGTCACTTGTGAGAATAGTTAATATACAGTTTTGCAGTCATCCTTGCCACCACATTGTAGATCTATGTAGCAGTATATTTGCTACTGGTCAGAGATAACTTCGTGCGATACTTATTGTCAATGTTTTTGTAAGTAGAGTGCTACCTTTTTACAATAAGCACTCTCTGATACCGCATGTTCAAGAAATGTGGGTTTGGAATAGCAGAAAAAAATATAGCTACGAGTGTAACTATGAAAGTTCTCACTATCTCTCGATTCACCTAAAAATTTATTATTCTAAGCCTACCTTTCTTCTCGAAATGTTTCTAGAAATTTGTTCTCATCTTTGGTAAGTGTTCTCTGATTTTGTCATCTCTCAGATCCTCGTTCTCAGCAGTTCGACTAGCCCACTTCCCTGACGGGGGGTTTTGCAACTTTGTCGAACTCGCTCATTTACAAGTGCAATCGTCTGACTGATGGAATAATCTTATTTTCTAATGCAAATCACTCACATGTGACTATGTGTGAAGGAGCACCATCTTGCATCCATACAATGACATTAAAAATATTTCGCTTCTGCAATTCTAGAATTACATAATTCTGCAACATTGCTGCATACCGTCCATGATATCCGCAGCGGCCACCTGCTGTCTTCACCATATCTGATGGAAGAAAAGTCGACAAGCTGTTGCAGCATCTAGACTCTCTGAAATCGATAAGGAAATATCCGCAGAACAGAGCTTTGAGGCTTGAGAACTGTGGTTTTTGGTGCATCCAAACTTCGGGCACCACTTCTTGCAATATGCAATGGACCTGAATAATTGTATTATGCACTTCTGCAGCAACTTTAACTGGAACACATGGTCATCCGGATCACAGTCTATCACGTGTGTATCCAGTTTTATCATTTCTTTTTTAACCAAATCGCTTACAGTTTTTACGAAACATGCCTCTCGTCTTAGCTATCATTTCGCCGATAAACGTTCCTACTTCGGCAGAATTTTCCCGCTCAGATGAAACAGCTTTATCAATTTACTTGTTTGTTGCCCTGTAAATGTCATCTTAGTAGCACGTTCGAACCCCTGAATGAAGGAACAATCTTTCCACAGTGATTATTAAAGGTTTTTCACAAGCAATGCTTTGCACATGGTGTTCTGTGATTGGTGCTTCTGCTGTCTACCGCAGTGAATTATGCAAAGTTCGTCAATGCAGCTCCTTTCTGTGTAGTCATTGGTCCTTTACAGAAAGCTCTTTTTGCAAATGTTTTACACCAGCAATTTTCGATTTACTTGTATCTTTTCATTGCCTTTTATGGTTTTACAGTGTGCTGATCAATTTGCACAGGAAACTGATCAGCGTATGGAAGTGCAGGAAACTGATCACTGTAAGACCATATCAGGGGAAAACTAGATGCTGTCGTTAAAAAATTTCGAAAAGTTTTCACTGTAACCCTAATCGTGAGAGCTCTATTGTTTTAAATCATCACAATCTCAAGTACATACATTCAAATAATAATATCTGAAATTTCATTTCGAGTGGTTGAGCGGATAGGCTGCTAGGGGTTCAGATATCGGAGAAGCAATATACATTGTTCTGTGCGTTTGCCATATACTTTGTTGTGTGCATTCACTAGCCTACATTTTTCTATCATTAAATATCCTTTCTTAGCATTTCGCTATGTCATTAAATATCGTCTTTTAGCATGTCGCTAAGAGATGTTTCTTTATTAAGAGTCTATAATGTTAAATGATCTTTCTAAGTGCTTGGAATCTTTAGACAGATTATTTTCAAAACTATTCAACTTTGGCAACTTTAGTGACTTATTCATATAGGTTTGTTTAATTTTTACTGAGAATTTTGAACACCACTCTGTAATAAATAATTGTTATGGTTGTTAACTAACTTATTCATACAGTTATTCACAATTTCCACTGAGAAATTTGAACATCGCTCTGTAAGAAAAAATTGTTATTTTTAATTACTTTAATTTTTTTTCCTAATAATATGAGGTTCTGGTAAGTTAGAAAGCTTGTAACAGAGCAGGAATAATACTTCTAACAAGAACCAGACTTTAGCAGTACTGTACCTCACAGTGCGAAGAATCCAGTATTTCTACTTGAGTTGTTAAGTTGTCAATGTTCACTGTCTGTTTGTATAGGAATTCTGAAATGAAATTAAAATTTATTTCTACTAAACATAACATCTGAAATTAAAATACAAACTTTAGTTTATAACACAACTAACTATTATTTGGATATTAACTAAATGCTAACAGTTATTAACCAAAAACATAATAACTATTACTTGGAGTTATATTATTAACTATTATTTGAATAACCAACAAAAATAATTGGGGTGCTGCGAAATAACATCATCAAATGAAATTATGCTGCAGTAAGTTCTCTTTAAGATGACTACTCACAGTTACAGATTACTTGATCTTCGGTAGAAGTGGATCGTCATAGAGGTGATATTCACTACTGATACAAAGAATCCTCTCTAACACGATTTGATTACCTGTGGCGCTAGAGGATCGTCAGTTGGATACGATACTCGGTACTAATGTTTATTTATGTTTCTAAAATTTATGAAGAAATGTGTGTCTACGAGAAGTGGCTGCCGCGGTACATTCACTATATTTGCTTATATTCTGAGAAATAATGGCCACCTTCAGAGAGGTAGTCGCGAGAAGATGATTGGCTAGATGGATGTTTTTGTCTAATTTAGCCGTTGTGGCCTGCTGTTTTAACACAGAATCCGTCTTGTCTTATTTTAAAACCAACCAGGGTTAAAATGCGGTTTAGCCCACTGCTTGGCGATTGTTTTTCAATGGGCAATAAACGCGACAACATGGCTAACCCGATGTTTTGAAGCTGTGTTGTTATTCTGTTGCCACTAAATGTTATCGTCCTGTGTTATATTTAAAGAAATTAAATATTGAAAAATCTGCATAAATGTTTCTCGCATTGTGATAAAACAACGGTACCTAGAGTTATCAAATTTTGAAAAACATACGTTTCCAACCTAATATGGGCATCTGGAAGCCCAAAACTTAGAATTTTTTTTATTATCTGATTGATATTTTGTAAAACTTGAATGAATTTTTGATTAGCAAATTCAAAGATTTCAAAGCAAGCAACGGCAACACAGTACAGGAAAAAAAAAATTTACGTGCAGAGCACAAAACTGTGTATCGGAAGTTCTAAAGATATGCTCATTTTCAAATTATTTTGCGATATTGCTGTTCAACTGAATTTTATGGTTTATGTGTAAAGAACATTATATTTGATAAAGAAAGGTAACACACAAAACGTTAAAAAAACGTCCCTTTGGGCATAATGCAAAATCTAAAAGCTTTCTTTTTAATTTTTTATTTTTACTTGTTAATTCTGTTGCGGTTTGAATGTTCTTGTGTGGTGGTTCTTTTTTTAATCGAGTGCTTTTCCCCCTGTGTGTTTTAGTCTTTTTTCTGCATATATTACGGAAACGGCGTATAAAACGTTAGTAAATTTATTTAAAGATGAGGGGGGATCCAAAAGGGTTTACCCCTGAGATAAATTCATATATAAAACCCCTCAAAAAGACTTTACATTTTTCTTGAAAAGGGTAAGTGAAAAAATTTTTCTTGTATGGTTCGTTTTAAAGTTGCTTATTTTTAATATTTTGTATTTCTTTTTGGCTCAATCCTAGAAGATTGGAAAAGCTAACGTTGTGCAATTCTCTGATGTTTTTTTAATGAAAATAGATCGATATGTACATGGGCAAAGCCAATGCAGTGCGCAATGCCAATTTTGTGCAATTCTGGGATTTTTTTTAAGTGAAAATAGATCGATGTGCACATGGGAAAAGTCAATGTGGTGCGCAATGCCGAGTTTGTGCAATTCCGGGATTTTTAAGTGAAAATAGATCGATGTGCACATGGTCAAAGCCAATGTGGTGCGCAATGCCGAGTTTGTGCAATTCTGGGATGTTTTTCAAGTGAAAATAGATCGATGTTCACATGAGCAAAGTCAATGTGGTGCGCTATGCCGAGTTTCTGCAATTCTGGGATGTTTTTCCAAGTGAAAATAGATCGATGGGCACATGGGCAAAGCCAATGTGGTGCGCAATGCCCAGTTTGTGCTATTCTGGCATGTTTTTTAATTGAAAATAGATCGATGTGCACATGGGCAAAGCCAATGTGGTGCGCAATCCCGAGGTTGTGCGCGATGCCGAGTTTGTGCAATTCTGGGATGTTTTTTTAAGTGAAAATAGATCGATGTGCACATGGTCAAAGCCAATGTGGTGCGCAATGCCGAGGTTGCGCGCGATGCCGAGTTTGTGCAATTCTGGGATTTTTAAGTGAAAAATAGATCGGATGTGCACATGGTCAAAGCCAATGTGATGCGCAATGCCGAGTTTGTGCAATTCTGAGACTTTTTAAGTGAAAACAGATCGATGTGCACATGAGCAAAGTCAATGTGGTGCGCGATGAAGAGTTTATGCTCAATTCTGGGATGTTTTTTGAAGTGAAAATAGATCGATGTGTACATGGAAAAAGCCAATGGAGCGCGCGATGCCGAGTTTGTGCAATTCTCTAATGTTATCTAAGTAAAAATAGATCGAGTTGCACATGGACAAAGCCAAGGCAGTGCGCAATGCCCAAGTTTGCATAATTCTCTGATTTTTTTAATCTTATTTAATTGACTTCAAATTGTATAGCAGCTATTTCTGGTATGCATAGTGACTGATATCTCTTTAAGAAAATATGTATGCACGGAGATAAATTTTAACAAATGATTCCTTCTCATGAATCAGGCATTTTGCGAGAAATAAACTTCCATGTTTGAATGAAAAAGTTGCAAATTTCTACGAGGTTTAAACCTCTCGCATTTGTTATGAATTACACGTAGCTTTTAAGCGAAACTAATGGTATTTTGTGTTTAAACTTACGTAAATCGAGTTTTAAATTATTAGTCCAAAGGAGAAATTTGCTCAGAAGGACTATTAATTTCGTTTCGGCATTTTGCAATGATTCACTATAAGCGTTGTTTCACTTTTCAAATTGTGGCCAACAAATATTATCGCCCTGTATTATATTTAAAGGAATTAAACGATTAAAAATCTTCATAAATGTATGTATGTTTTCCGCATTTTGATAAAACAACGGTACATAGAAACATCAAATTTTGAATAACGTAATCCTCCTGCAAATATGGGCATCTGGAAGCCCAAATTTGAAATTTGGAATTTGTTTTATTATCGTTTTCATATTTTGTAAAACTTTAACGAATTTTTGATTAACATACTGAGGAATTTCAAAGCAAGCAATGGCAGTGTACAGAAAAAAAACATTTTTATCTCCAGCGCGCGAGACTGTGTATCGGAAAATCTAAAGGATATGCTTATTTTAAAATTATTTTGTGATATTGCTGTTGAACTGAATTTTTACGGTTTAAGTGCGAAGAACATGATATTTAATTAATAAAGGTAACACGCAAAGTGTTAAAAAAACGCACCTTTGGGGCGTAATGTAAAATCTTAATTTTCAGATTTTATTTTGTTTTTTAATTTCATTATATTTGTTGTCTTTTTTTTAATTTCTTATCGTTGACAATATTACCTATCGTAGCTTTAGATATCGAAAAGCCATGGCTTTCACAGCGTTTTTTAATAACTAGATAGGAATAAATTTCTTCGGAGAGAGCACAAATGTCCGAAGACAAATTGCCAAGTAGCAGACGATAATTTATGCTTTCAAAAATATACTTGCAGTTAAAAAGAATTTCCAAGCAGACGATTTCTTTTGGAATTTTTACTTCGTAATTTGAGCAGTTAATTCAGTTGCCGTTTGAATGTTCTTATGTGGTAGTTATCAATCGAGTGGTTTTATCTGTGTGTTTTTGCCATTTTTCTGCATATATTTGGTTAAATAAACAGTCGCTATGGATTTATCTGTGATGCTGAGAGAGGTGAGTGAATGTACATGTAAACAAACATTTTATTATACGAAATAGTATAGAACGCGGTTTAGGAATTTAAGAAACAGGGAAATGAAAGCTGTGTATGATGTTGATATTGAATAATAAATATTTTTCTTTTTTTATTAATGTAAAACTTAAAAATTTTTAGAAAATAATGAAGATTGTCTACTTACTAGTATGTAAGAGATGGTGTCGTTACGTAGCAATAAGGTAATTTTGTAAAGATGATAAAGTTAAAATGTTCCGCAATATGAAATTAAAATTTTAAAAAAATCTGTTTTTATTTGTATAAATACTAAAGCTTAAAAATATTCACCTTGTATGAGAGACTGCGACGTTGTTTACAGTTTTAATAACTGTTACAATTCACTTACCGTATTATAGTAGTTTGAAATACAAAAAATTTAGTATACTTATTTCTACATCTGTAGAGAATACATTGTGACGTCACATTCTTAGCTCCACCCATTTATGAACGTCACATAGCTTCGCCTTCGCAATTTTGTTTATGCAACGTATTCTGAGATTTTACTGGCGATTTTCCAAAAATCGCCGCTACTGAACATCGCCAAGCAGTGGGCTAAAGCACATTTTCACCAAAACCAGTATAGTATAAACATTTTAGAGCGTTATTAGTAAATAAATTATCAGATTAGTTATATCTATGGAAACTTTAATAAGCATATAAGGTTGAGACTGCGCTATGGTGGAAGTGTGGCATTATTCTAACTATATTGTATTTAAGGGCTAAAACTAATTTGGATCAAGAGAGAAGATGGATGTTGATAAATTTAGATGGTGTAGAACTTTGGTGAACCTTGAAATCCTTAGTTCATCATTTCCGAATCAGCTGCATGTTTACTGCTGGCAATTAAAATTGCAACACCAGGAAGGAATGATCTGAAGTCAAGGAAAGGAAGAAGAAATTGGGATATGCAAATGATTTGTATGTCAGCACATTTAGACGACGCAGGAGGGAGAAACGACATCTGAAGCACTGAATAAAAGAAAAATTGTGTATGGATTTTTCATTCGGAAAGGGCTTTGCAAGGTTGGAGTTTGCTCGGAATATCGTGTTATGCCTCGAATAAGAAGAGAAAATGCTTACCAGCAAGCTTCGAAATTCGATAAAGGCAGGATCGTTGCATATCGAAAGTGTAGATTATCGTTCCGTGATATCGGCAGTCGAACTGGTCAACA